GGGTGAGGTTGTCATATTATTTAAAACAATCGTCTCAAATTAATTGTTCGTCTCTCAAAGATCTCAGAGAGTACCCAACTCGACTGCCCCGGAACACGGCTGAACAAAATATCAGCCAACTTCAAAATTTCAAAAGTTAACTTTGTTTGGGTTCTTGTTTCCTTTTTGTTTGTTTTTTTGTTTTTTCGAGGTTGTTTGTTTCTTTTTGGGATTTTTGTTGTTGGTTTTTTTTGGTGGGTTTTTTTTTAGTCTGTGTGTTTGGGTTTTTTTAAGGGGAGCGTTTTGTTTTGAGGTTTTTGTATGGGTTTTTTTTTACCCCCCCCCCCCTTTCGACACTGTCACTATATAGATTACTAAGGAGACAGACTTCCGAACGTGCCAGTCAGGGCTAACCCAGGCTGAGATGAATACAACATACCAGCAAATAGTCTGAATTACTCGATTCTTAAAAAATTCTCGCCTCCCGAGAATCGAACTTGGGCCTCTTTCGGTTTATTTCATTTTAAAAGATGAGGTCATGTGAACAACAGGCAAAGCCTCATTGGTCCTACCCTGACGTCACCTATTTTTCATCTCTGCATGATTGATTTCACTCGTTCTTAACTTGATTTGCATTGGGTAAAATACAGTTTGGAAATGCTTTCGTTGAAAATGGTATAGATTTAACGCCCCTATCAACACTGTTAGGTTATTTAAGAGTCGGATCCTCTGAGTTTAACGTCTGTGTCCGAAAGGATCGTCAAATCAAGTTGGAAATTTGTGTGAAGTGCCTCTCCCAAGAACAGAACTTCGGACCTAGCTGAGGCTCGAACCCCCGAACCCGCAAACTCACGATTACGAGTCTGGTAGCCTAACCACAAGGCTCCCGGCGCCACTAAATGATTTCATTTATATAAGGTTATTCAACGGTAACTGTTGTAAGATTATGGCTAGTGCCCCGATTTTTTGTCTCATCCAAAACTGGACTTACTCTGTTTTTCCCTGACCCCTTCAAATATTATACGCCGCCCGGGCAAAATTCAAACTTAGTCCTACCAAACTGAAAATGCTAAAATATGTCCGGCGCCCTCATATGCCCGTATGCAGTTACGAGCGCCGTAAAACACTAACGAAAAATAATGCTTTTTTACATATTAGCTTTTATGGCTTCTAAATATTGCTCGCCCCCTTTTCGCCTCCTTTTCTTCACTTCTTCACTTTTTCTTCACCGTACTCCACTCTTTCTCTCTCTCTTTCTCTCTCTCTCTCTCTCTCTCTCTCTAAGCTCTTTCTCTCCCTTTTCCTTTCTTTCTCTAAGCTCTCTCCTTTTTCCTTTCTTTCTTTCTTTCTCTCTCCCTCTCCTTCTCCCTCTCCTTCTCTTTATCTTTGTCTTTCTGTTTTCTATTCTCATTGTGTTCATTATACCTTTTATGATACCTAAGAGTTTAGTTTTAGCAATAGTTTTACGGCACTTGCAACACAATAAGGTCATATAAATAACGAAGATTCGAGGTGTTACAAGAGAGTAACAAACACTAAAAAGAAGATGGTTGATAGGAAAGAAGAAGCAAACCACACCAGAGCACCTGCCAACCACCCACTACCTAAGAGTCGTACTAAAGCCAATATCTAATTCATTTCTCCCGTAACCCCAGAGATCTTCACCGGACTGATCTACACAGACAACATGGCGCAGAGGCCCTTTGAGCTCGGACACACGGAGCGGACGTCAGCTGATGGGCTCCGGTGGACGTCGTCTAGACAGTTCGTGGACTCAGTGCACGGGGCCCCCACACCTCACCGCAAGGCGGCCTTCGTGCCCGACATTGAGGGTACAGTAAAAGGTCCCAGCCTCACGTACCACAGCTGTGTCATACTGCACTGGAACCCGGAGCTGGGCAGGAGGAGAGGTTTGACTTGGCGCTTCCACCCGTGTAAAGGAGAGCCGCTGAGTTTTGTTTGCGAAGTGCGTCCGCCAAAGAGTAATAGATGTTCGAGGAAAAATTCGAGGAGTCGGCGGTCGGCCCTTGTCTTCGGCGATCACGAGGAATCGCCAGACGTCGAGGAGGAGAAGTTTTGGCGGGAAATCGAGAATATCGAAGATGAATTAAGTGATGATTCTGATTTCGATGACGAAGATGATGAAGAAGACGAGGACGTGGAGTTCGCTAAAAGTGATGGTGTTGGCAGGAATAATGACAATGATGATCCGTCCCCCTTTATTTCGCTGCCTTGAACATCTCCGATTGTTCTTCACGAAATCCCAAAATAAAAGTAACCCGCTTTGTTCGTTTTTCCGCTTCAAGGGAACGCTTCCACGTGCGGCAAGTGTTGGAATATGTAAGTGTCAAAAATTATAGTTTTCCAAGTGATTAAGAGCATGAAAAACGCTCCACTCCTACCCATAAGGAGAAAAAAAAACCCTTCTCTATATCCATCTGTTCACACTGGAAACATAACGTTCCAACAAAATCGGCGTGGAGAAGCTTTCATATTTCCTGGAACACCCTGGCTCTTATCCACGCTTCAAGACGGTGTTTATATAACGTACGTCATCCCTTGGATTAAAACACTTGTTATGACTGGCCTTCGCAAACTCTTGCCGGCGTTGTAGGAGCGACACGCCACTTTCTGATCCTGTAGAGTCTTTGTGTACATATTCTATTATACATGCAACAGCTGGTGGCTATGCTGCTCATAATAATCTCCGTCGTCGGGCAATAAATGATGACTCATTCAGCACCTGGTGATCCCCCTCGCTCATCATAAACATTATGACGGTCTGACGGTGGTAGTTTTTCACGGACTGATGGTTCTTTAGTAGCACAATTTACGACACGGATTCTCAAATTCGCGACCCGCGGCCATTTGAGGTTCATGGGACGATATTTTGTGACCCCTATCTGACATCAAAGTTTAGTGCCAGTCTTACCCAAGTATAGCAGAGCTGAGCTACATGTATGTAGCAGGACGCATCTGGCGGCAAAGCGAAAGAAAGAAAAGCCTACTCTGAAGAGCCGGTCTTGTTCTTTTTTTTCTATGTGTAAAGAGAAGCACATCGACACAATAACGGTCATTTAGTGCTGGGGAAAAGTAAGACAGACAGACCGACAGAAACAAAAGAGCGAAAGTAAAGAAATGGGACCTACCAGAGGCGCCCTCCAACCACCCGCACCGTTGATGTTCTCAACTGCTATTAATAAAGATTCAGAAGATGAGATAAATTGTACAAAATAAACATACTTGTAACCTTTTTGTTATTGTGAATACTTGATGTGACCCAAGCTCACCCAGACTGCACTCCCAGCGGTCACCCAGAGCGGTTTGAGTTTGAGACTCCTAATCTACGTGTCAGCCCATAGAGATGATGCCAAAGTGAAGCCAGCCGTGAGATCGTCCGGAGTGACGTCACAAGAGGTGGAAAAAAATCGTCATGGTGCTGCCATTGTGGCATAAGTCAGACTTAAGCATGACGGAATGCAACCATTATTCAATTCCCCTTTTCATGCATGTTGCTTTGCTGAAATTTAGTATTTACATTTCTCAAAATTGGTGGGCCGTTATCCTAAATTTTGACTTTTTTTTTAAATGGAAAAGTGTATTATAAAACAACAAGTCGGGTTTTTTCGATTATCTCAAAAAGGCAAAAAAGATTATTTTGACCATACTGGCATCACCCTGGGGAAGTTGTCGTATCTACGTCTTCCATTTCCGCTAACTGAGCCAATGTCAGATAAGACGTTACTCCATAACATTGTTATCGCTTGTAATAATTGACTGGAAAGTCGATGGATTTGTTTAATTACCCCCCCCCCCCCCCCCCGTTTTGTTTTGTTTTGTTTTTGTTTTTGTTTTGTTTTTTTTTTTTTTTTTTTTTTTTTTTTTTTTTTTTTTTTTTTTTTTTTTTTTTTTTTTTTTTGGGGGGGGGGGGGGGTGTTTGTTTGTTGTTGTTTCACATTGTCTTTTCCCAGTAGCTACTGATATGATGTAGACATCGTTTTTTGAAAATTTTAACTCGATGGGGACGCTCATTCAGATGATTCGACAACGGTTCAAGATGCACTGCTTAGGGGCTTTTCAAAACGTTAAACATGAAGAATATTTTTGCTGTTCATACATATCTTTCAGTTCCGTTTTCTTTATCTGATGTTTATACAGGAAGGCAATAGTATTCATAATCTTATTAAATGTGAGGCGTGCTGACAAAACGAGTTACTTCTCGCAATCCAAGAATTGAGATACCAGCCGAAAATCGACACTGGGGTCAGATTTATAGATTTTTCAATTGATGCCATTTTCTTCAAGTCTACCGTGCCTTTTATCATTTCACACTTACACATTGTGCAAACACCACTAATAAAGTTGATGTTTCAATTCCCACAAGGATAAAATTAGAGAAGTAACTCATTTTTAGCACACGTCACTAATATGCAAATTAGTATTTATCATGTGTGTATGATGGTTCAAAGTACGCTGCAATATTGCCTTTGGTCTGCTACTGATCAGAGATATTGTGTCCAGCACGCCCTTTAAGAGCTAGTTAATGTATAGTGAGAGGTTGTGCTAAGACCGTGTGCAGTGTAGTCCCATACTGTATTGTGTCACGACGCGGTGGAATCAGGCGCTCGTCAATTTCGGGGCATATATGGGATTAGGCTATAACCTTAAAGTTAGTTCGTTTGCCTTGCCTTTGTTTTAGTACGCTGTTTGCATGTGCGGCTCTCGCAACACAAATTGGTCATATAAATACCAAAGATTTACAGGTGTTACAAGTGAGTAACAAACACAAAAATGGAGAGGAGATAAGGACGGTAGTTATTTGATAGGAAAGAAGGAGCAAACTACACCAGAGCACCAACCAAACAATTCACAAACAAACTGCCTTGCTTTTAATGAAAAGAGACGTGTCTATCTTGAAGAGAAATAGAAACATTTCCGATTGAAGAAAATATGGGATCGCCTGGAGTCAGGGACAAAATTAGCTAGAAAATGGCCTTTGAAGGTTCGGACTTTCCGGAGCTTGATTGTCCTTTGAAACTGCAATTCTATATTTGTTTGTGCCTTTGATCAACTTTGTTCAATAAACATCCACACCGAAAAGTATTTTAAAATGAACATTAAAGGTGTTCAGCACTACCCCCCC